CCGGCTAGCTCCTCTTATAGCCCGGGCATGGGTCACGTGGTATGGAATACATGCCCCCTGCCGGCTCCTGGGGAGATTAACCCCATCCCTGCCGGAACCAGGACAAGTTCCTAGAGTAAGATCCTACACCGAGCCAAGGACCTGTGCAATGGAGCGGGGCTCCTTCTGAAGCTGCAGGTGGTAGCAAAGGAGCTGTTAGCTCTCCTGCTGCTGAACTCCCTGGAAGAGGTGTCGGGCATATCCCTTGCACTATAAGCAGTCAGGCTGCCTAGGAGGTGTTCCCTGGCATCAGGCTGGAGCACAGCTGCTGCTGTCAGGAGAACAAGGGACGCAGTGGCCCCTGCAAGGTGTGATGAGTTTCCTGCTTTCTTCAGAGAGCCGCAGCCCACCCGGGGAAGTGAGGAGCAGCTGCGTGAGGCAGCAGAGGGGTTCCACATGGCGACCAATGCTGCAGCCCAGAACACCATCAAGAAGCTTGTGCACAAGCTGGAGGTGAGATCTACGCTTAGTGATGGAACTCAGGGAGGAGGTAAGTAGGTTGAGGGTTATCAGGGAATGCGAGAGGGAGATAGATGCCTGGAGTCGCACCCTGTCTCCCATGACAGAAACCCAGCAGGCAGACAGAGCCCCTGCTGTGGAGAGCTCCCACTCCTCTCCCCGATCGGCTGAACAGGGTAGCTTGGAGGACAGGGGGCAATGGCGAGATGTTCCTGCCCAAGGCAGCAGGCGTCGCAGGCACATCTGCTCAACAACTACCACATCTTCTCAAGTCCCGCTGCACAACAGATACGCTGTTCTGCGGGGGGAGCTGAACAACGGTGAGGATGATAATCCTCCCAGGTTGGAGGACTCGCTGAGGCCTAGTCAGACCACCCCCCGAATCAAAACTGCCTCAGTAAAAAAGAAAGGACGGGTCATTGTAATAGGGGACTCAATTCTGAGGGGGACGGAAGGCCCAATATGTAGACCAGACCTGCTATATAGGGAGGTTTGCTGCCTCCCTGGGGCCCGGGTTGGTGATGTTAAGAGGAGGCTTCCATCCCTGGTGCGGCAATCGGATTATTATCCCATTTTAGTTTTTCGGGTAGGCAGTGATGATGTAGTAAGAAGAATGCTGAGGGCAATGAAGAAGGATTTCAGGGCCTTGGGACGACTAGTTAAGTGATCAGGAGCCCAAGTCTTGTTTTCTTCTATCCCTCCTGTTGCAGGGAACGATGAGGAGGTTAACAGGAAAAGCCAGCAGGTCAATGACTGGCTCCGAACTTGGTGCCACTGACAGGGGTTTGGGTTCTTTGATCACAGCCTGATTTACAGAACACCAGGCCTGCTGGCAGCAGATGGGAAAAGCCTGTC